AATTTGGAAATAAGCCCAAACAGGATAATAAAACAAACAATATATTTCTCTAAGTTAAAATGAATAACAAGTTTGTGGACTATGTCATTTTCTGGACATTTTTGAATGATGTTGACACAAAAAGCAGACCACAAAACATTTATACACTGATTATACCAACTGTATGGATGGATATAAATGTGTTTTAAAGATAGGAAGAGAATCTGGAGTGATGGTTTTATGTTTCTCTAGAATTAAAGATCACAGATTTTTAAGAAGAATAACAGGATATATAAAACATCAGCAGGTTATCAAGCTGCACATCATTAAGAAAAGAACAGTATGGTCTTCATACTTTCCTTCGCTAAAGCCTCTTTACCTCCTATGATATTCCCTGTGATGCTAACAGGGAAGGTGTTCAGGTGGGTAGAAAGCTAGCTCAGATGCTTTTCTCAATGCAAACAGGGGAAGGCAATGAAAATTGTGCCCTGGGTACTGAAGAGCAAAGCCTTGTATAACACACTCACTAAAGATCATCAGTTTAAACCACCATATTTGTGGCTTTACAAAGCAATTTCCTCATAAAGAGACATATACTAAAATTAGAACTACCTTTAGCTTCTCTAGTTGACTATCTGCTCCAGTACATGAACATTTATATTACTTCATGATGATGATCTGTCAGCTAGGGCATGCTGAGAACTTACCCCAACATCGTCATCGCTCTGTATTAATTGTGAGTGTCCAAACAGGCGTCTCTTCAGTATGGGCTCAACCAGAGTAAGGTACACCATGTACAGAAGTAGAAGACCCAAAATGGACAGGTAAATTATAATGGTAACCTAAAGGAAATTGAAAATAAGTTACATCTCTGTTCAAGCCAAGGAATCAGAATTCTGTATAATCATAGTAAAGCCGCAGTGAAGACTGGTCTATCTGCTAAGCATACAGGATTTCTATATCAACCAGATTCGAACATAAGAAACAAATTCAATTCTTCACCAAAGTATTAAAGAAAAAAGGAAAAAAGGCATTTTGTCGTTGAGATCTTTTTGTGAGTCTTCAAAACTCCATTTTCACTTACTGCTAATCACCACTGCTAGCACAGCAGTTTTATTTCTCACCTGAATACAGTGTCCTAGTGCTGTCAAGACAACATAAGAGAACCCTAGCAGAAAATGCAATGCAGATGAATTTCAACAGAATACTCTTTTAGATCAATTTAGATGTTCAAAATATGTTTTAGGCCAGTGATTTTCTTGAGATCTTAATTCATGTGCTGACATCCCCAAGAATGGCTTTAATTAAAGACAGACAATACCAAATGTTGACAAGGATGTGGAAAAACTGAACCCTCATATGTTGCTGGGGGGAATGAAAAATGGTACAACCACTTTGGAAAACAATCTGGCAGTCTCTTAAAAGTTAAACATAAACTTACCTCTCTAAGAAATCTACCCAAAAGAAAGGAAAACTTAGCCACACAAAGACACACGTAAGCAGATATTCATGACAGTATTATTCATAATAGTAAATATCTGGAAATAATCCAAATGTCTATCAACTGATGAGTGGGTAAGTAAAATGTGGGATATTCACATAACAGAATGCCATTCAGCAATAAAAAGGAATTAAGTACTGACATATGTTACAACATGAATAAACCTCAAAAACATTATGCTAAGTGAAAGAACCAGTCACAGAAGACCACATACCGTATGATTCCATCTTTATGAACTGTCCAGACCTGTAGAGACACAAGGCAGAACAGCCACTGCCTAGGACTGAGGGTAGGAGCGGGATTTACTGTAAATGGACATGAGAGACCTTTTTGGGGTTTTGGGAATGTTCTAAATCTAGATTTTTATAAATTGTTTAAAATTTGCTAAGATTTATGGAATTGTACACTTACAATGAATTACTTTTAAGGTATGTAAATTATACATCAAAATTTTTGTTTAAAATTAGAAAGTACAGTGAGAATTTCTCTATGGGACAGCACCCTGCTGCAGCAGGGGCTCTCCCACAGGGTCAACCACACCAGAAATCTTTGTAACTGCTATAGCTGACCATCCCCAGATTTCCCATGTGCCCTCTTTTTGGGAAAGGAATGAGAAGCTCCATATAGAAAAAACTGGGGGGAGAACCGTTAGTCACCACGATAAAGTAACTGAACTTATCAGAGCGATCCACCTTCCAATTCCTATAGCAAATAAAGGAAATCTTAAAATCCAGAAGTGATGTTTCTAGAATAGACGAGTCACTATATGTATGATTCTTCCTAAGGGTTGTGAGGGCAGGAAGAAGAGGGCCTAATCATGCTATGCTCACTATCTTCTGGCATATGTGACCACAGAGAAGCTAGGACATTTTTCTGGAATATGCTAATTACTCATAGGGCATTTTTGTGCTATTACACATACCATGCCTATCTACCTTATCTTAATCCACAAAGCATCTCAATGAGGCAGGCAGAGAGCAGGCCTTCTTTGGGGTTGGGGGTTGGAGATGAGGAAGGAGGTAAAGACGGTGGTGAGGAGAGCAGTATATGAGTAACTAAAATAGAATTCCTATGTCAAAAATTTTTCCATGTCTCAGTATTATCAAGAATTATTCCAGAAGCAGAAAAGATGGATTTTTGTTTTTCACCTTGATTGTTACAGAGCTTCTTTCCTCATATTTGCATTCACAGCGCAGACAGTATGCTTCTATGTCAGGCTCCCTCACAGACATGAGCTCCACAACATGAAGGCAATCGCTGAAAAACACAAAGATAAAATACTGTTCAAGTCTAGCTGGATTTTCTATTCACACTGATCAAAACTTTCTTGAAATCCGGAATAATCACTGAACTTATCCAATGAAAGAATATAAGGAACAAATAGTCAATAAGGGAAGTGAAACAATTTCCTCTCTTGATATCAGCAATTTGGTAAGATCTAAAAGTCTAAGAAACCATAAAGACACATATATAGTAACTATTTTCAAAGGTGCTTACTGTTAGAAGTTTATAATGCACCTGAAAAATCCCAAATGGGATCAAAACCTATTTAGCAGATTGAGTCATATTCAAACTTGTTTAGTTACCAAGCAAAACTGCTTTAAATGATTTAAAGTGACCTGGGGCATTGTTGAAATATGAGATTATCTCTTTTATGAATCAACTAATATTCTTAATTGCCACAGTCTGGAATATAAATGGCTAATCACACTTAGCAGTTGGTAAATTCTGAAACCTGAACATTCAAAGCTACAGTAAGAAATAATTACTTGTCTTAATGAGCAAATGTCTATTGAAAAAGCATGAAGAAGGAGGATTAGGACAACAAAAATATTTTTTAATGAAAAGTGATTACTTGGAAGAAGTATATCAAAAATAAAAGGCTGAATGTTTTTGTTGTTGGACGTTTTTCTATTTTCCAAACTACATATTTATGGCTTATGAAAAAGCAATTCTATAAAAAAAGCATTTTCCGAGAAACCTGTCAATTCTAGAAAATAATTAAGCTATTACTTCCCCCAGCTAATAAGAGCCTACTACTCTGATCATCTTCAGCAAAATTAGGCAAACTTTTCTGTCTTCCTGCCTTCTGCTGGGCAATTTTCTTCCCTTTTGGCATCTCTTCCTTGGGTATTTCTGGCTCCCAGAAGAACTCTACTAATTTCCTGTCTCTTTCCACCATCCTTCTTGGGGGCACTCAATGCTCTAGGCTGATTCTTTCCATTTGCCTATCAAAATGTACTTTTTGTTTTGTTTTGTTTTGTTTCATTTCCTCTGTGCTGTGACTTAAAAAGAAAATCCAAAACAATATAAATGATAAAAGTTCAATCAATTACACTTAACAAAGTAATTGTAATTTAAACAAAGGTAGTATGTAATAATAAAAAAAAAGAAGTCTCCAATGGTAGCATTTCAAATAAGGGTAAGGTCCCACAACTCACACCATACAAGTGTGTGATATCTGTTCCAAACATATAGAAGACTAAGAATGTAGCCAGCTGGATGCAGGCATAAAATGGGCAGAGAAAGCTAAATCCCGTTACAGGAGTATATAGCTCAGAATCAGAGTTCATCCAGCCCAATACTTTCAGAGAAGTCACCTGCACAAGGTTACAGAGTAAACTACCAGCTAAAAGGACCCAAATCCAGGGCTCCTGTCTCCTAGGTCAGCCCTCCTGTATCTCTCTGAACTTCAGGAATATCAGACTTATCTCCCATTTAGTTTCCTATTTCAACTTCAGAAGCCTGAGTAACAGTACCTAAGAGTTATTTGAGAATCTAAGTGCTGAGTATCGCGTGTTTCTTTTGAAGAATACAGTTTAATAATGTCGAGATACTGGGTGGGAGAGGAAGCAGGAAGGTTGGTTCTGAAGGGCCAGTCACTGTAAACACAGAACCCAGATACAGAACTCAACCACTTTAGGAACTGGGCAACACCTCCCCCTAGTGCCAAAGGGAGGACATTTTTGGCTTTAAATCACACGCCAAACACAAACCAGAGAACTCAAACTTTTCTTAAGTCACACAGCAGAAGTCAATGAAGAATTAATGCTAACAACTGAGCACAATGGAGGCTGAAAGGTAAATACAGGGTGTCCCAAAAAATGTATATACACTTTGAATAATTATTAATTCCAATGGGTTAAGAAAGAAACATCAACTGAGCTATCAGCTGTGAAGTATGTATACATTTTAGGGTGACACCCTGTATATATCTAGGGCCAGATGGATATTAGAGGCCTCATAAGGCCATAACATAACTTGCCTACCCTTCTGCTAGTTAAAAACTGTGTCAGTGACAACTGTGTAATATCACACCTATTCTCAGTAAATGGCTAAGTTGCAGGAAGGAAACAGGGAGGGAACATGCCTTGTTTCAACTGTTTATTTTCAAACCTCCCTCTTTTGACCAATAATCAGAGATGAATGACATATGGTTCTGTCTGAATCTAGAATAAGAAAAGTCAGTGAAAAGATTAGTGCTAACCACTTGAATAGTGAGTTTATTTGCCACTCAAATAATAGTCATCATGTTTTATTACTAATAGAATAAATTGTAAGTGCTCAATATATTTAGAAAATTTATAGGAAAAACTTAAAACTTATTTGAGCTTTTTTATATCATATCAATAACTTGCTGCTATAAAACCTATAAGAATATAGCTACATCACTTTGCAATATGAGACAATTTAAGTGGAATGTGGACATTCATAAGAAGTTCTCAAGAACATACTTATCAAATATGAGATTGAACCAAAATGAGAAGAACAGACAATAACATCAAAAAAAACTAAACAAGCTCAAATGCTGCCTTTTCTTTTTCCAAGTCAGCTTGGAATATTGTAACCGCACGAATTTAATGTTGCTTTCAAATTCTTGTAGGCTGTTTATCTATGAAATCAAGTACATGTGAAAGCACACAGCATTTGGAGCTATTTTTCTTCTATGCCTATCCTGGTATTCTTCTACTGTGGTTACAAACCATAAAACATGACAATTCCATGGGAATGACCTCATCCATCCTGCGACAAAACAACTGTTTCCCAACCATTTTATGGCACATGCAGAAAAAGCTATCATTTGCAAGATCCACTGAGATAAACAGAGAAGGCTGCTGGTGGCTAGCCAGTCAGGATCTCAATCATCACATGCCTGCCTGATTACCCTGAGAGCTGAATGGATCAATATCACACCTATAACCTATTCATGGCACACCAACTGGGAAACTGGTGTACATGATTCATTCATTCCTTCCTGAGTCTCTGACACTTTTAAACATAGTCTCCTACATTTGGCAATATATCGCCAGAACCTACAAGCTGTAGAAATTATAACCCAGATAAATGAGGCTTGCTTACCTTTCACTGAAAAGCAAGAGAGAGGGCCAAAATTTAAGGGGGCAAAGGAAGTAAGTTTAGGTGGCACAAACTCTGCCCCATTTCCATAGAAAACCCACCCTATCTGGGGCTTAGAGTTTTGGCTATATTACTTCAGGCCTACATCATACACTCAGGGTCTTACTCTCACTTTTTCAAATGGAAATGGAATTTGACACTTTTTCTTAGAAAGAAATACTTAAAAAGAAAACAATACACTGGATGAACATTCTGGGCTAACAGTGACAACCACAGAACGAAATCTGACAGGTAATTAAGCAATCCAGAATACTTACCAATCTTTTTGGGATATGTTCCTATTATAAATATGTCCAGGAATATCTTTATAGGGAGGACAAATACATTTACACCGAACATCCTCCGAATTCTGTAACCAAAATGGAAACTTAGTATAGAGCTTGTTGACAGTTTATCATAATTCTTAAAAAAAATATTTTTATTTATTTCAGAGAGAGGAAGGGAGAGAAAGAGAAACATCAATGATGAGAGAGATCATTGATCAGCTGCCTCCTGCATGCCCCCTACTGGGGATTGAGCCCACAACAGGGGCATGTGCCTTGACCTGGAATCGAACTATGACCTCCTGGTTCATGGGTCCACTCTAAGCCACTGAAACACACTGGCCGAGCTATCATCAATATTTTTTTTAAATGCACCATATACATTTTGTTAAGCACCCCCTACCAAATATTCTAAAACCATTCACTTAAAACTTTAAATAACTTTGAGAGATACATGTTTTTTTTGGTAATGCGAATGAATCATTAAATATTACATAAAGTCAGTTTAAAATAATACTTAGTACTTGATCTGTAAATGATTAATCACATTTATGGGTCAGATAACACTCAAACTGTGCTAATGTTATCACCATCTAACTGTCAGTAGAAAGATATGATACATGGCTAGCTATGTCTACAAATAAGAATGTTGATTATAAAAGGATTGGGAGGAATCAAACTAAAAATTATTCAAAATTGGTTGATATGGACAAAAGGGGTTGGGCCAGAGTCCTATAGAAGGGCTGAAGTTTTAGAGGCAACTCGGCTACAATTAGAAAGAAAGTACATAAGGGAAGCAGCTCGAGTATAGTCGAGATCAGTTTGGTCTACCCTTTGCATGAAACTTTGCTTCTAATCCCTCCAGAGAGGACAACTGTGGATAAAGAAAACTTCAAGAGATGGAGAAAGGGGTGACTAATATAGGAATTGAGGGGGAGTAGAAGATCCTTCCTCTGCAAAGGGGAGTCGACCTGAGAAGGCAGTGGCTCCTCAGTCCCTGAGGTCTCAGGCCCCCTGCTCTGAGACATGGTATGTCTGGCTGAGTTGTCTTCATTCACTCACTCAGCAACCATTTAGTGAGCATTTGCTTGGTGCCAGACCTTGTGCTCAAGGAGGTGGGTTCGGATAAGTATAAGGCATGGTTTCTGCCTGTAATTAGGATGTGCCCTAGTAAAGGAGACTGACACATAAATACATGATTGCAATGCCCTACCTAAAGTGATGACAAGAGATATGCAGGGGGTGCCAGCAAGGTTTTGAAAGTCAGCTGTTCCTGTTTCTGCTGGAAGGTAGGGAAGACTTCTGCAAGAATCCCTGAGCAAGAACCCCAATCAAAACCCCGGATCTGGCCCTGGCCAGTTTGGCTCAGTGGATAGAGCGTCAGCCTGCGGACTGAAGGGTCCCAGGTTTGATTCCGGTCGGGGGCATGTATCTTGGTTGCGGGCACATCCCCAGTGGGGAGTGTGCAGGAGGCAGCTGATTGATGGTTCTCTCTCATTGATGTTTCTAACTTTCTATTCTTCTCTCTCCCTCTCTGTAAAAAGATTAATAAAACACATTTAAAAAAAAAATCCCGGATCTGTCTGCCTCTGATGTGTCCTTCCCATAATCCATATTTAAAGATGTTATAAACCCCTATTTTATTTTTTTTTTAAGAAATGCAAGCGCCATTCTGTTTTCCCATCTCATTAACATTAATTCCTTCTGTTTCCCCAATAACAAGCTAGCTCATCAAGGAGCAAGCACAAGTGTGCACGGGGCCAGGTGTGGACAGCAGGAGCAGGAGTGGGGCTAGAAAGCAGCACGAGGGGTCAGAAGGGCCGTGACACGGAGCCGGGGAGAAGGCCACCACCTCACCTCTCCTGCAGTTTGGATCCTCCCTTTCCCACTAAATGATCGGGTACAGAGAAGGCAAGAAAGGGCTCGAGAGGCCCCGGAGGGGTCTGGGTGAGGGAGGATGTTAGGCCGGTGAGGTCTCCCTGAGTCCTGTTGGGAGGAAGGCTGCCAGGACAGGCAAGTTCCCGCAAATGGCTGCGTTCCCACCTAAGAGGGAAGACCTCGGAGGAAGGGGACTCCCATCCTCTGGGCCTGGGGACGGGCGGAGTGTGGTCTGGGAGGCTGCTGGGGTGCTGGTAGCCCCGCAAAGCGTAAGGGGTGGAAAGCGGACGTGAAAGGCTCCCTGAGTCGGGAAGGTTACAAGCCTGGGGTGGGCGCTTCGGGCCCGGAAGGGAAACGCCCAGGAGGTGGAGGGGCGCTGCCCGGGCGGGGCAGGCGGGCA